GGTCGTCGTCTCTGTCCGTCTCTCACAAGGCGTGTCCGTTGTGGCGTTGGCCAAGATTTCGCTTGGCTGGCCGGCGTCACAGTTTTCGCGTCTGCGTCTGCACTTTCCCAGAGAGTGCCCCGTCCCGATCCATCCATGGATGCCAATGAGTGTGCGCATCTTTATTTAATTAACATATTTTATTTGCCACACAAACACACCGCACCACACCCGTTCCCTTACCATGGCACCCATACAGACAGGGGCGTTGTGATTTATGCCTGGCGTTTGTGCACTTTATGTTGCCTTTCAGTCATCATCCCCATTCCCATCTTCATCATGGCGATTGTCATCTCTAAGTAGCTTCGTTCGAGATCCTCTTTTCCACCCTTTTTGCGATCCCAGCCATAATATTAATCGTATGCATTAGTCGACTTCTGTGTCTTGCGGCTGCGGCTGGCACTGGCCGTGTGACTAATTTTATTACACTTGCCAAGCATTTCTGAATCCGAATCCGAATCTGAATCTAAATCTGAATTTGATTTTAGTTTTTTTGAGTTATTTTTTTTGCAATGTCCGCCCCGACCTGAGAATGTCGGCTCTCTGTATTAAATTAATGCTCACTTACTGTGCCAGCCATTCTGTTTTATTTATACTCGTATATTTTATTAAATCAAATGCATTCAGTGTGTGAGTGCATCGCGCGAATACAATCGCCAGTATCCGTGAACATTCCTCGAATGATATGTCATCAAAATGTGATTAATTTTTGTGCCTTCAACTCTGCTGTGGCACGGGGTGGCTATTTTTAGTCGATCAACAAATAGTTTCAATCCAAAATGGCAGAATCACAAGGCATTAAAGCATGTAGGAAATAATCCCCAAGCGAAGTGAAGCACAGGACTGTATATGCTTTCACCTCAGGGACTCCAATGTTTGAAATTGTGATAAGGGTTCTCTAAATATAGTACAGGAAACATCAGCATTAGGCCCTGCTAAAATTGGGTTTGGTTTTACCATCATTTAAGATTCATTTCATGTAGCTTTAATCCCCAAAGGCCTGACTACATCCAGGGCAGCAATTTATTAATTGATTGATGGACACTAAATGATTGGGCAGTCTAGCTAAATGTTTATCCCATGGGGACATTTCCATTCAACAATTACTTCCACATTATTACCTCCCAAAATCAAGGTTGTGGTCAGGAACTGGATTAATTACCAACTGACAGAAACATTGCATTATTTGCTCCTAAAAATAATGGACAGTTCTGGTCGCAACGGCCTTGTTTTTGTTTGGTCATGTTTCCATTTTGTTCAACATTTTTCAACTGAACGGGTGTCCTGCAGTCTGTATTTATTCCAGAACTAAATTACAGAGCGAAACCTTTTGACAAGTCCAAAATTTAGTGACTGCCTCGACTGTTTGTGCCTCAAACACAACCTAAAATTGAGTTTCGTTTATTTATGCTTTCACAGAGGAAAGTTTTCATTTTATAGCTTGCAGTTATGCTCAAATGTTGGTCACAACTTGAACAAATTAAAACTTTTCGTTTTTAAACATAAAAAGAAAAGAATGCTTCACACACACTCGATGTTGACTATTAACCCAATTCTCTGGGCGAGTACGAGTACAAAAGAAACTGCAACTCTCAAAAGCCATTTAAGCATTATGTGCAATAAAAATTATAAATAAAAGTCAGCGCACACAAGGCTGGGTAGGCAGAGCCACTCCATTCGATGAGGACCGTGTGCTGTGGAGCAAATGTTTATGGGTGGCGCATTCTCATTAGGCAAAGTGTTCGATAATTAAATGGAAATGTAAATCACAGCCTCCCAGATCTGCTCTGCCCCTCCACACGTGAGGCAATTAGCAGGCGATCAACGTGCAGCTGTTTAATTGGCACTGAAGCTAAAGATTGAAGTATTCGTCCGATTCGAGTATGCATGGGGTCTCGGTCTGTGCCTCTGGCAGGGGTCCTCTATTCATGTCCACTCGCGCGGATGCTGTTTATCGAGCGTCCAATCAAGCAGCCTGAAATTATACCATACGCAAACAAACAACCACATTAAACCTAGTATCCATACAGATGCTCGTACATAATTATAAATATAGATGCGGATAAAATAAAGTAAATGAGGTTCATTCGATGCTCGGCACTCGTTCTTCTGTTTATTTTTGAAGCGTGCGAAAGATTTTAATTGGATTTTGATATGATATATCTGACACACTCCACCACCTGCATTCCCATCATCTCCTTCTCCTGCTGCTCACCTTGGCAGAGGCCTGCCGCTTCCAATCTGTCTTTAACATTTTACACAAGATTATTTTTAGTTTGTGGTCTAACATTGAAAATATTTATAGGTATGTTTGCTGTCTAATATCACGCATAGTTATTAATATTATTTCTATGAGAATTTCGTGTTTGGACGCTGCTGTTGACATGGCCAGCGGGGCGTATACGCAACGCTTTTAATCCTTCTTGTTCTCGTAATCAACCGCCAATCAAGTGTGTGGGAAAATAGGCAAAACACACACAAAAGAGCACATAATAACCGAGAAAACTATAAAAGCAAATTTAACAGTATAAACAAGAAGATGGAGCACCAAAAATTGGCCATGAAAATAATACTTATAAAGATTATTTTGATACCCTATTTAATTTCTTATTTTCGCAAAACAAATCGATCGGCAAGGGTATCAGCAGCTTCGGTTCCCCAAATGCAGCCATTCCTTCCTGTTTTTGTTGAGGTTATCATGGAATTCTCGGGCCACCGCTGCTGCCATTGTCTTCTCCTCTCTGTTTATTGTTGGTGTCGTTGTTCTTGCTGTTCTTGCGGTGTTGCCGCTCCTGCTGTTTTGGCCGTATAGCGCATTGGCTTTCTTCATTAGTATGTTTTAGTGGGCGCCTTGCCAAACATTTTCTGAAACAAATTGTCGTCGCGCTCGACAACATTCCGCACGCTTACGCCTCATACAATCGCCTCGGCCAGAAGAGGAGCGATTCCGAAGCAGACGATGGCGGCACCGACGGCGACCCAGTGTGACACACTGTGCCAGTGTACCACTGTGCAATGCACAATTTGCACACTTCGCTCATACATATTTCTAATTAAAAATCGCCACGATACTGGGATAGGATACTTTGACTTGGCCATCACATATGCCTTTGCCAGTCGCTGTCGAAGTTCCCTGCAAATATCCAAAAAACCCAGAGGAAAGCCAAAACCAAATGTAAATAAAAATGCAGGAGGCATGGCATCTGATGCATGTGGCAGCCAGCCCCTCTGCCTGTTGCGTTTTGAGTACAATCTTCTGTCCGTCTCTGTGTCTCTCTCCCCATATGCCCGTACGTATTCCTCCGAGAGTGTGTGTGTTTGTGTGTAAGGGGCTGCGTCTGATGTCTAACAACATGTGTACTGTACGAGCGTGTGGCGCTCCGCATTCCGTAGCCCCCTTTGGTACAACTAGAAGCAGAAAAGTTCCCTTGGCCAACTGCGTCTTTTGCCCGATGCTTTGGCGACGCTCATGTGTCTCTGTCTCTTTTGCTGTTGCTGTTTCTGTTTTTGATTTCGCAATCGTTTTTGACATACTCTATAGATTGTCGGGTCTATCATGGTTTTTTCAGTAATGACCATTATAGGAGTATTTTATATGCTATATCCAGATATATTTCCAATATTTCCTACACATGATTCCTTACAAGTCATGTTTATGCACATAAATACATACGTACATATATATCTATTTGTCCGATTGCCAGCGCGCAGCTAACCAATTTCCGAGGAAAATACGAGTTGACCCTCAAAAAGGAATATACCATCCCAAAGTTGCCCAATATGATTTAAATAGTTTGAATCTGAAATTCCGAAGTATTTAAATGCTCATAAATTTCTTACGAATATAATATGTACATACATATATAAGAATATATATATTTGTCATATTTATGAATCTCCTGTACAGGAAAAAGAGCATTCAACCGATGCATTCACTCACTAAAGATTTGTCATTTTTGCCAATCTTTTCGTATAGCTTTTTGTGGCATTTTCAGCGCATGTTTTGCCAAGCGCTGCTGCCGAGGAGGGGTGGGTAGGAGAAACATGAATTAAATTAAAAATAAAACTATAGAAAATTGTAATTAAATAACTAAAACAAAAATAAGCATGCATGCTGACTGACAAAGACTATTGTGTACCGAAATAAAATTACAAGAGACAGCGCAGAGACACAGACACTGACAACGACATCGACATACGAAAAATATATACAAGTAGATACACTCGTATATACTCATGGTAGATATAGAGAAATGGAAACAGACAGCGATGTCGATAGAGGGAAAACTCGCGAGAAATGCAAAAGAAGCGAGTGCACAGAATTATTTAAATTGTCAATGCTGCAAACACACAGCTCTGTGGGATCTTTAACTTTAAAAAAAATAGAAAAACTTTTGGCTTGCTACAAAAATCCGAATTTTATTTTCAATGTCATATTTTATGGTTTACTAATCTGGCCGTCAAGCTAAGCCCCACTGGCCAATCAGTCGGACAGTTGGTCAGCCAGTTAGTCAATCAGTCAGTCAGTCAATCAGTCATCACATTGCTCAGCCAAAAAACCAGACTAATCGCCATCGCCCCTCCTTAAGTCCCCAGCATCCCCTCAAGAAGCCAATCGACATCGACGCGCTTGTATCTCATGCTTTTTTGATTGTGTTCTTGCATCTCCTACATGCATGCATGCCTTTATCTGTATCTGTGCAAGTGTGCATGTGCTTGAGCTCTTTATTTGACTAATTTTTATGCGCACATTTTTATGCATAAATTTGTTATCTTTTGTTTTTGATTTTTGGTCGATCTTCTGCCTTTTTGTTTTGTATGTCACCAACAAAAAAAGAAAGGAAACGAAACGAAAGCAAAAGAAAAGAGGAAACGCAACAACCAATTCGAATATGTTCTATCATCCAAAAACTTTTTTCAGATTTTTGATTTTGTATCCCCATCATCACCACCACCACTACCACCACAACTACAACAACTACAACAAGTACAAGCACCACCATCAACAACAAGAACAACAAGAAAATCATCAACGGCGTCAATTGCGACGATGGCTGCCATAAATACGGTAAGTACAGGACAACCCACATCAAAAAAAAAGTACACAAAGTATTGTACATCAACGTCAGCATGAAAAACTACAATGAAAATTAATGAAGGGAAAGCTTGTTACGGTGGCCGAAGCCATTCATACCCTTGCAGATCGATAGTTGTAGGCTTCCGGCTGTAATATTCAATAGTTGTATTCCAACTTTTAGTGTGATTTGTTTCCAGAATCCGAAAGAGGAACACCAGTGGTGTGCAATCAATCAAATAAGAAAAATTTTATCTGACAATCCACAATGTTTCTTTTATTTGTGTACAGTTGAATATTAATTGAGCAAACTAAAACAAATTCATGTTTTATTCCCGATTAAATATACAGTGTTTTTAAATTGAATAGTCCTTACTACCCCATGCTGGTTGGTATAATATTTATGTTACTTTGAATAGGACTTTGAGCTCTCATTTAAATCCCTATAAAAGCAATTTGAATTGGTTAATTTAGGTCAACATTTCAACAGCAGAATGTTCCTCCTCCTACTTTCACCCTTGAATATTTTTTCATTAATTAATTTGCTGTAACAGTTGCTATTTTAGCATTTTATTTCCATAAATTTTCGTGAAAATGCTTTTAATTCCCTTCCTCCCCCATAAATATTCATGCAATTATTCTGTTTTCAATTTTAGTTGGTATTTTACAGCTTCAATTGCGCATACATCATCTTCCCAATGATAACAAATTCGTTTGATATACACTGATACAATATTTTTATAATCATAAAAATACTACTGGCGTTAAGTTTAGGATTCGGTTTCAACCATTCTCCTGAGGTAACACAACTCCACCATCAGCCCATAAATATTTAACCAATAATTAAATTGCGTCTTGCTGGTGTCGTAAAATACTTCAAATAAAATCTCCACACGATACAATTTAGCCATAACGCCTGAATACGATGTGTTGAATGGCTGATAATACCATTCAAGCAGCACCGCAAGCTTAAGCATAAACAAAATTATAAATTGAAATACGGCAAGCAAAGAGATTTCGGGCACTATGACCGATTTACCAGATGATGAATCTGTTGTTGATGACGACGAAGGCGCTCTGTCAGCCCTTGTGTATGACCGTGTTTAGCTTCCCGAACATGTGTTTCAGCTCATTTTACTAATAAGCAACGGCACAAGCAACAAACACAATAACACGCGAATGGGAAAAAAGAAAACCCGATGACAAATTACCACCTAGCGTATTCAATTTTCCACTGACATCAGCTCAAAATTTTCATTAATATAAATATGTATCTGGGAGTTTTGGCCCAAGACCTTGCCAAATTCAAATCAGTCCAATGTCCACCTCCGCATCCACATCCACATCCACATCCCCATCGCCGTCCATGTTCATGTCCATGTTCAGGCACCCATCAGAAACAGACCCGACGGAGTCTGGCAGTAGAGGAAATATGATTTGGGCAGCGTTAAAGTTCTCATGGGGAGCCGGTTTCCTCTTCGGATTTCTTCTTTCTTCGATGTGCTTTTTTTTTGACGCCAACATCAACGCGTCGGCTTTTGGTTGTTTTTTGGAGTGACATTGACATTTGATTGACACGTGAATCACTCCGTATAAATATACAAACACCTAAGAGTCCAGGTATACGCCGGAGTATGGGCAATTGGTGTGGGCCATGTCGTAACAGGATATGGCGTCCCACAACCCGCTCACACTTCCCTCTGAGACATGACAGCCCTGCCCCTGCCGTGCCCGTGCCCTGCCAGACGATGGGATATTCTATCACTTGGCATACATAAATCTTCCGTCTGGCGAAACAGAGCAACAGCATATAATTACTTGATACCTGAATTGATTTAGAGTGAATTTAATTAATGGTTTTTATAAGATACTCGTATGTTTTGAAGAAAAATAGGATTACAGCTTATAAAATTGTGGAACAACTTCTTTGGAAATTACCAAGACTCTTCCAAGTATTTCAATACTCAAACTGAAAACAGTTTTGAACAAGGTTATCACAACACTTGTTCCACATTTATCTAATTTACTTCTACGCGTAGCACTTATTCGATTCAGCCATATATATTTCATAGCTCATTGCTGGCACATTTAAATAAACATTTTCCGCTCAAGAGAACTTTTATACACATCAGAGGCGAACGCGGACGCAGACGCGGACACAGAGATGATTCCCTGTGCCACTTGTGGCTCCATTTCCACTTTCAGGCCAGTTCATTGAGTAGAGAACTTACTCATTTAGCTGAATGTGTTTTTTTTCCCCCAGAACTTAAACAATAATAAAACTCTTGTTTATTTATTCTACGAGAAATTTTATTTGGCCGAAACTAATTTATGCGAATGTCTTCGCTATCGTCTTTTTATATCTGCATCTGTTTTGTACGAGGTACTCGCAGGGAACAAGGGTATACAATATATTCTCCTGAATTCAAATTGTATAATTTGCTACAGGATATCACAAAGTCCTAATACAAATTATGGCGTTCCTGCTTTCGTTTTCGCCTTGTTTTGATTGTGGTACGCGTCGCTGGCACTTTTGGAAATTTATGCGCTGTTATTTTATTTATTTGCGTTTTGTTTTGTGGTTACGGGCAATTGCAGGCCACTTTAATTGGGCATCGGTTGCGGTTTATAAAGCATTAATTTCCCCATCTAGTGGCAGAGCCCACCCCTCATAGACCCACCCCAGCCCTGTGCCCATTGTGCACTCGCGGCAGGAGAGGGGAGAGTGCTTATTAATGGGTGAATTTTTATTGCATTTAAATTAATATGCATTGAGGTTCTGCCAAGAATAGCAGAAAAATTACCGACTAAAAATACAAACACAATTGTTCTGCAAGTGCCAAGTGCGGATTTGTCTGTGGATGACGAGGTCCCACTGCGGCACTGCGGCAATGGCCACACGGCGAATACTTAACTTCCGTGATTACTGGCTGTATGTACCGGGGTGTGGTTGTGGCTGTGGGTGTGGGTGTGGGTGTGGGTGTCGGTGTGGGAGATACAGTTGTTGGACTCGTAGTGAAATGCATTTAAATTCAATTAATTATGCGACACGCCGTCCATTAGGCGACAGTTGCTGTGAATTATCAATAATCTCGACTAATCTCTCCTGACAGCCATCGCTTTGCCGCCGCTGCTGCTGTCGCGCCTTTTGGCAGCAATTTCGAGTGTACACATGTACACACATATGAACATACATGTCCCTATTGTGGCCCCCCTTCCACTCCCTAACAGATACACAAACACACACAGATGATATATGTAGTTTATGTAGTATATAGCACAATATAGAGAGGATAAATTATCAGCCATTGAGATGCCGTTCTGCCTTTGACTTGTCCCACAGGTACCAAAGAGCATACACCTGCCTTTGACAAGTCTCAGCAGCGCGCCGCGTGTGTTGATGTGCAGCGCCTCTGTGGGCTCTGAGGGATCCGTAACATTGCAACTGAGAGATGCCAGCGCCTTGGAGGCAGCATCAGCAGCATCAGCAGCATCAGCAGCAGCAGCGAGCACAAAATCGGCCACATCAACAGGGGGGAATGGCGTTACAACGCTTGCCACGTCCTCAACGTCGGCATTAGAGAATGCTTTGACGATCGGGTATCCGGATCCGGAAATGCTGGCAGATGTCTTGGGCAGCATACAGACAGCCTGTAAGTAAACTACACAATTTATTTTCGACAGATACAATATACAAACTAACGCATCTGTATCTCTGTATAGCTCTCAAGAACAACCACACAATCACAGCCACAACTTTAAGCAATAGCTCAACGAAATCGGCTAATGGCAATCATCTGAATAATCCCAATAAAATAACCATAACCAGACGTAGTGTGCAGTCCGTCAGCACCTCCACGAACACAACAACAATCGGTGGCAGCCAGAGCCACAGCCACAGCCAGAGCCACAGCAAAACAAATACCAGCTACATTAAGAACTGTTTGATCCGCAGCAGCAGCTGCAGCAACACGGTCACCAATGTCACGACGCTGGCGCAGATTATGAGCAACAGCAGCACCAGCAGCGCATCCAGTCTCCTCAATCAGCACAACAACAACAGCAACTGCAGCAACAGCAGCAACTTCAGCACCGCCTCCTCCGTGGGCAGTAGCATCAGCATCGGCAGCAGCAGCAGCAGCAGCAACAGCAATAGTAACGATAGCAACAGCAGCACCGGCGGCGGGCATAGCCTCTCCTTTAAGAGCAACGGTAGGCATGTTCCTGGCAACAGTGGGGCAGTGGGTGGTGGAAGCACAGTAGCCACAAGCACTAATACCCCTGGCATTGGTGGCATCATCAGCATCGAAGCACCGCGCAAGAATCGCCCCAAATTATCCTCTCCAACGCGACACGGACCACAGCAGTGTCAGGTGCGTATGGGTGTGCGAATCCCCACCCAATTCATTTTGGTTTCGATGCGGCCTAATCGCTAATTTATCGCCGGTCACTTTGAGCCATGCCAACATGTCAGGACAGCCAGACACCGAGCGCTCTAGCATGCCATATCGTGCCGTGGCATATTTATAAACAGACATTAAGGTCGTCTCGGCCGAGTGGCAGGTGAAACGCGCACAGCTCTCAAAAGTGCTTTCTTTACCCGCACCGGCACCGGCACTGGCACCTAAACTCTCGTATTCGTAGTCGTAAAAGTCGGCGGCATATCCACTTGGAAGTAAAATTATATAGCCATAGTCGGGCCTGTTTATGCGCAGCGCTAATTGCAGTCCGGCTGGGGGAGCTGCATGTGAGGGCTCTGCCATCTGTTTATGGAATTGAATGCTACGAATGATATATCCACATAGAATGGAAGTCTAATCAAATCATTCTTAGGGTAAGGGAAAGGAGCTGTTCCATTGGTTTATGTAATATTACATTAACTGCAGCAGCACTTTGGATATCATTCACAGTCCTGAATAGCTGCTCTTGATCAACCCTCGCATGACAGCTGTGCTGGGTTATGGAATGCAAAAACATATATATGTACATATGCTGCAGAATGTTAGAAAATACGTCACTTAATAGAAATATTATTTGATAAGCCATACTCGTAGTTTCTGCGCTGGTATCTGCTGAATTTCACTTACTAAGCATTAAATTTTTTAAACATTTCCTCTGTTTTTTTGTTCATTTCTCCCCATACAACATACAACAACAACCACTTAAGGCCTCAAGTTAGGAATAGCTCTCCAGCAGCCCTCGCATGACTATTTCAACACGTTTCGACGTCTGTCAATAAAACTGACAGCCGCTCAAAGTGCTGCAATTTAAAGTCTTCTTTCCTTTTTGCGCGTCTGTTAGTTGAGGAGTACGAGTAGGAAGTCAATTTTATGACGCCTTTTACGATACTGCAGAGGAAATGTTTGGGTCAGCAGCAGGAAGTGACAGAAGCCTGAAATTTCACTCCTGCTGCACATTCCGCTGATGTTGAAATACTCGTATACATATCTGTACATATCTACAGTATAGTTTAGAGTATCGTGTGGCTGGGCTTTTGGTTGGTTTTCGGTATTTCGCGGCGAGGTAATTAGGGTTGGTATGTTGTGGCCGCAGCCGCAGAAACATAACGTATACGCAATGTGGCTCATTAAAATGTTCAAACAGCGTCAGCGTCAGCGGCAGGCGGGCTGGCGGTCTGGCCGTCTGCGATGGCCACCGCAACAATTTCAATTACCTAGAGGCGGAGGAGAGCGAGAGAGAGGGAGGCCTTCAGGCAATGCTAATTACATTTCACTTGGCTCTTGTCGAACTTTTTATAGATTTGTTGCAAGATCTTTGGAAATGCCTCGGCACTGGCCAAGCACAAACTGACGCACAGCGACGAGCGCAAATATATTTGTGTGCTCTGCTCGAAGGCATTCAAGCGGCAAGATCACTTGTAAGTAAATGACGCTGATCCATTGATCCATTGATCCACTAACCCATACTACCATTATCCCTATAGAAACGGACACATGATGACTCATCGGAACAAGAAGCCTTACGAATGTAAGGCGGATGGCTGCGGCAAGTCCTACTGCGATGCCCGCTCCCTGCGCAGGCACTCGGAGAACCATCATGCGGGTGCAGTCACTCCCACCACCAGTCAATCGCTCTCCCCCACAGCCAGCTCGAGCGGGGCGAGCAACAGCAGCAGCGTCGGTGTGGCCACCAGTTCGCTGAGTCTCTCGCCGGCGACGGCCAGCGGGGATGCGAGCTCACCGGATGGGGCCACGTGCATACGAACGTACATTTCCACGGGCAGCTCTTTGGTGGACGCCGCCACGGGAATCGCTCTGTCGGACGAACAGATCAAGGCCATGAACTTGCCCATCAAGACGGGCATGACGCTGCTGTCGCCCACCACCTCCACATCCTCGAATGCATCCTCCACGGCCTCGTCGTCGTCGCTGTCCTCTTCCCCGTCGACCATCGCGTCGTCGTCGGTGGCCGGTGGCACCGTGATAGCCAGCTCACCCACCATCACGCTCAGCGATGGCGTCAGTCTCGAGGGCGAGGGCCTGACCCGGGAGCAGCTCGATCTCATCAGCAAGATCATGCAACAGACGAAGCAGACGAGTGCCCAGGTGACCGTCTCCTCACCCACCAGCGTCAGCTCCTACAAAATCAACACAAACTCGGCCCCGTCATCGTCCCGGCCCCGTACCTGGAACATGCAATTGGTGGGTTAATATCTATAACCAATCCATCCTCCAGCAGGGCTGACAGTGCCTTCATATTTCCACAGCTCAACAGCGCCCAGAATGTGACGCTCCATGTGGAAGATGGCACCGATCTGGTGGCTTCTGCCTCGAACTCCCCCGTAGAGATCAAGGAGGAAGACTTGGGCCAGCAGCAGCAACTTGTGGCCACCGCCAATCCCCACCTGCTCGTGAAGCTCGACAAGCCCGTCGAGTGCAATCTCTGTCACCGTAAGTTCAAAAACATACCCGCCCTCAATGGGCACATGCGCCTGCACGGCGGCTACTTCAAGAAGGATCCGGAAACGAAGCGCAGCGAGAAGAAGGACTCGAGTGGTCCGCCCCTGCAGACGGCCAGCATTGGAGTGCGCGCCCTCATCGAGGAGAAGATCATCAGCAAGCGCAAGGACATGAACAAGGTGCGTTGATCATGCAATTAATATTGTCCCTCCATCCATCTAGCATTAAATTAGCATCTCCTCTTTGCTCAGGGCGCCTTTGTGGTACCCGCGCCACCGCACAGCAGCAGCAACAGCAGCACCACCACCACCACCCTGCGACGATCGATCAGCGACCTGGAGAGCTTCCTCAATCCGAAGAGCAGCTCGAGTGCTTTCACCCAAACGCTCTCCACCAGCGCGGCCACCACCACAGCGGTGCTGCCGGCGGCCACCACAATCAAGAGCAGCAACGGCCTCAGCATACAGCAGATCGGACTGCCCCAGAGCATCGAGATCTTCAGTGGGGGCCAGAAGCAGTCGAAGACCCTCAGTCTGGGCAGCGGCACCAACACGATCACAATCACCACCAACAACGTGCCAACGACCACGACGATGAGTGCTCTGACCGCCCTGAAGGCAGGCGGAACCATTAGCGGCATATCCGCCGCCACCAACACGGATCCCAAGGACTCCACCCTGATCGAGCTGCTGAAGCGGGGCACTCGCATTGCGGTCACCTCCAAGAAGGCTCAATCCCATTTAACCCAAGGCGGCACGAATGTGCTGATGACTACCCAAAATGGCGCAGGATCGGGACTGGGTGCGGTCACAGAGCTCACCACCATCGGGGGAAGCAACATTCAGACGGTGGGGCGGCAGATCATCACCAACAACAATCGGACCGTGATCATACCTTCCGATGTCCAGGTGGTGGCCACCAAGAGCAAGCTGAGCAGCCTGTCCAGCCTGACGAGTGGCCTGATTAAGAGAGCAGCAGCAGCAGCGTGAATACATCCTGTTCGTCCGGCAGCATATCCCTGGCCGATGACACGCCCCTCTCGCTGAACATCGCCCCCAGTCAGGAGGGGCACGTCGGCAGTGGGACCGTGGGAGGGGGGGGGAGTGATCACGAGCGGAGGAGGCGGAGTGTACACCGTTACCTATACCAGCGATGGCAGCGATCTGTTCGACGATGCAGAGGTGTACAACGTGTCCGACACGGAGATGCTGCTCCAGACAGTGGACTCCATGGAGCTGCTGAACGACGAGGACGTGGACGTGGCGCAGATCAAGAGCGAACATTCCGAGGACTTTGCCCTGCTCAGCGAGGCCGGCGACAGTGTGCACAGCCAGCTGGTCAAGCTGGAGCCAGACACCGGCGGCATCGCCAACGGCTCCAGCAGCAGTAGCACCACAAACCCCAATAGCAACACCAACACCAACCATGCAACCACACCGCTGCCCACCTTCCAGCAATTCCATTCCAAGGAGCTCATCATGCAGAACAGCTCCCAGATCCAGGCGATAGCCAGCATGCGCGGCAGCATCCTGCCCTCCCCACTCCACTCGCCGCTGGCCTATCCGACGCCACCCTCCAGTCACGAGAACATGGCCCAGTCGTCGCCTTTCATTGAGGATGCGGCCGCCCAGTTCGTGGACGCCAGCAACACCTTCTTCGGAGACAAGACGGACTTCTCGCACATCTACTTCAAGACGGACGATGGTCAGCCCATCGAACAGCTGAACGAGAACGACAACGAGAAGATCCTGAAGCTCAAGTCGGTGCTGGAGGAGAGCAGCTTCGATCCCTCCATCAAGGTGGAAGACTTGCTGAATGGCACGGAGGACGACACCGAGTGCGACCTGCGCGAGTTTGCCGAGACGAATCTCTCGTTCCTGGACGAGGACCAGGAGTTCCTCAACGATTCACGCAACGCCACCTCCCCGCTGTCGGAGTCGTTCTTCACCAGCGGCATTGGCTCGGCAGAGGATGTGAAGCAGGTGCTCCGTGAAGTGCTGCCCGACGAGAACATGCAGCTGCAGCTGACCAGCGAGGAGCAGGGGGAGAACATCATTGATCTCTACTACTTGCCGGGCCTCGGTCTGCAGTCCCAGATGATGAACAACTCGGAGGACCCGATGCTCTCCTCCTCGCCACGCGAATTTGGACTGCAGCGTCAGATGGGACAGATCCAGGCAGCGACTATGCCACAGCCGATGGAGCAGCAGCTGCAAACCACGGCCATCTATCAGCAGCAAGAGTCACACCTGCAACAGCAGCCACAGGAACAGATACAGCTACAGCAGCAGCAGCAGCAGCAACAGCCGCAGCAGATCCTGGTCCCCCAACAATCTCTGGGCCAAGCGGTTTCCATGCAGGCTCAGGCAGGCCAGCAGCAGACAGAATTCATGCTGCCCCTGGCGGGGGGTCCTGGCTTTGCGGCGGTTAGCGGCCAGACTCAGTACCTGGATACCAGTCAGAGCACCATGACACTGCAGCCTCTCAACAGTCTGCTGCAGCCTCTGCTGTACGGAGGTGTCTCCAATGGCACACACACCACAGGCCCTGCGGCTGTGCTCACCACCGATTGCCAGATGAATCCCAATCAATGTCAGAGCAACGCCCTCGATGCCAGCCTGCTGTTTTCCTGTGGCGCCACAGCCACTAATGGCAACGGAAAGTCCCTGCTGGCCGCCCTGCCCACATCGGTGCCCACACCTGTGGTTATTGCCACCCCGCCCAGCGTATCCAATCTGCAGCCGCTGTCGAATCAAACCAATTCCATACTGAAGCGTCGCCTGCGCTCGAATGCTCCCCAGGAGACGCAAAAGTTCTCCAAGTTCCACACCCTGTCGCCGCATCGCTCCAAGCTGCGTAAGCCCTCGCGCACGCACTATACGCCGGCCCCCATCCTGAATCCGGACCGCAAGGGAACAGGTCTGTATTGTATTGTGCGGAAACAGCAGGGCCAGGGCATGTTTGATGTCTTCGAGGATGACTTTGGCGACCCGGTGGGCCTGGTCGACTTCTCGGACGAGTCGAAGGTGAACCTCGGCTCGGCATATCAGGCACAGATACCCTGCTGCAAGCCGTTGGAGGAGGCCACCAATGATCCCATGGGTGCGGAGATGATGTGGAATCCCGAGGTGCAGGAGGACGAGAAAATCCTGATGCGTTACATAGATCTCAGCAAATCATCGGCCGTGCCAATGGGCAGTCATTCCGAGGAGGTGGCCCTCCACACATTGCTCAAGTCCCAGGGCAATTCGGCGGCGGCGGTGCTGACCCTCCTCCAGACGCAATCCAGTGCATTTCAAATGAAGTGGACCGCCTTCGAGCTGGAGCAGTTCCTGCGCGGTCTGGAGAAGCATGGCAAGGACTTTGGCAAGATTGCCAGCGAGGTAAGTGCTGGGAAACCATTTGAAATGGCATTTTCTTTAAATTGTTCTCAACCCCACCAACCCCATTGTTCAGCTTCGCACAAAGTCCTCGGGGGAGTGTGTGCAAATGTATTATTTCTGGAAGAAGCTCTGCGTGGACTATAAGGTATCGCACTTGAAGATGGAGCCAGTGACCCACATCGTACCCCCCGTGGAGAAGCCCTATGTTTGCGAGATTGCCGACTGTTCAGCGGTAAGTTTTATGTCTCAAATGCTGCAGCATGTCGCCAGCTCTAGCACACCACCCCCACACACCCCTCTTGAGACCTTACCTCGCCGAACGAAAATAGACACACAAATACACACACATACAACACCCCACCCCACCTCACTTCACCGGCTCTTTCTGTTTACTTTCTTTTCTGTATATAAAATGCTCTGTAAAAATCAAACCAACCCCGCCTGCCCGTCCAAATGTAGAGCTTCAGTTCGAAGGCGGCGCTGCACGGCCATGTTCGCATACACGCTTTTGGCCGTAATGCCAGCAGCAACAACAACAACAACAACAGCAACAACAGCAGCAACAGCAACAGTACGCAGCATGCGATGGCAAATAATGCCACAGGCAGCAATCAACAAAGTTCCAACAGCTACGCATGCGCATCCCTGACAACCAACAGCAGCAGCGGCACCAATAATCCATCAAGCAATGCAACATCAGCAACAACAAGTGCAGCGAATATTGGTGGCAGCATTGGCAATGGTGGCAATGGCAATCCAAACACAACGACAACCACATCCTCATCGACACTGACAAATTCCAAAGTGGAAACGGGCAACACCAACGCCACTGCCACTGCCCCGCCAACTGTCAAGGAGGGGGAATTCCCCTGCAAGGTGTGCGGCAAGTAAGATTCCCCCCAAAAGAAATTTCTACCAAAACTCGTATAACCAACCAACCACCAACCAAAAGTCAAGTGAAAAACCAATTCATAAGTCCGCAAGCGATTTGAGTGCCCGTATTGACTTGAGTTGAGATCGTAAAGCACGCTATATCGTAAATTATTTACCATGCCAGCTCGAGTACTTATTCGTAAATGTAAACGAGATCTTGAGTTTTCAATTACATCTTGAGTAGATCTTGAGTTGACTGAACTTTGTCTTATTGTTTCGAAAGCTGTTCTTTTGTTTTCGGTTTTGGTTTTCATTTGTGTTGATCAATTGTTCGTTTTATCTTGCTATATCTGTTCACTCACTCTTCTATATATCTCTCTCTCTGTCTCTTATCTCTCTCTCTATCTCTATGATTACGTACGAGTTTATAGTTTTTGGCCTTGAGTTTGTAGACATTAAAAAAAAAGCGCCTTGAGTTCCATTCTATCGTATCGTATTGTCAGTTTCCGACTTCTCTGCCATTTAGTTAGAGTTTCCATCAAGCGATTAATTAATTGTTGTTATTGTTGTTGTATTGTATTGTTCCATGATCAAACAAATTCAAATTACGAATACAATCAATAAATCGAAATTGCAATTTTAAAGCGAGGAGTCACAGCTCGCAAATAGATGTAACCGGAACTGATATCAGATCCACAAGTACACACAAACAGCGCGACTAAAGACGCCATGCAGACGCTGGCAAATCGCCCGGTAAGTAAGCAATTTTCACTCTTTCGTTTTCCACCTTTCTTTCCATTACGTTTCATTTCGGTACTCTCCCTCTTCCGTTCTCACACTCGACACTCGACATTCGACTCGATCTCTGTTTCTCTGATTTGATGTACAATTGTTTCGATATACCATAACTACTTACATACTCGTACCTGTAAGAGCAGCGCTAAATGCCTCTTGCATTTGATAACTTTTGTAAATATACCTAATAATTAATAAATCACTGGGCTGTATTGGGACTGGGGCCACCACCAACTCTAAGCAATTGCTACATTTCCTCTGTAAATTGTACGTACCGCTCGCTTGGGACGTGATCTGATCTACCTACTACTGCTGTCTACGAATTGGTTTATCTAGAAAATATCCGATCTATAAAATTTTTCATTGAGATCACCACCTGTGGGAGCGGCTGTGCTGTCCAGTGTACCTCTGCTATCATCATTCAAGCGCACACCAAACTCTCAACTCTCAACTCTCAACTTTTCCGTTTTCCTACAAATATATAAATGTATTTATTAAATAATTTTATTTGTTTCGGTTTCGTTCCCAAAAACAATCAACATGAACTCTCTATTTTCCATGGTTATTAATAACAACAAAGCAAATTTTAACTCCACACAAGGCTAAGTAAGAGGAAGTGACAGAAGAATATCTCCTTTATCTCCGCATGTTGCTCCTATGCTCCTATCTACCTATGCATGCTCTACTGTACTTGTTTTATGATAATCGCTGCCTATACTCTATGTGCCTCATTATATCTAAATGTCCAAAATATCCACATAGTGTGCATTCTAGCTGGTAGTGACCGTAGCTGATTCTCTAAATGCACGTTCTCTCATGGCTCACGTCTTTCTCTCTGCTCTCTCTCCCTTTGTCAGAGTCTTCAATAAGGTGAAGAGTCGTAGTGCTCATATGAAGACGCATCGGGTTCAGGAATCGGATCAAACGCCCAAAAACCAACATCATCAACAGCAACAACAACTGCAGCAGCAACAAAAGCAGCAGCAGCAGCAGATAAGCAATCTAACAAATATTATCACAGGATCCGTCACCGGTAATGGGACAGGCACAGGGACAGGGACAGGAACAGCATCAGGATTAGCATCAACAGCCGCCTCATCAGCGATCACAACGTCGTCTTAAAGACCGATCGGGACAGAAATAAGAAAATGACTTCCAAAATTAATGATTAAACAAATGAAAAATCGATTGACAATCGCATTAAGCAAGCAGCGTTAGAATTTACTCTTAGACGAATTTGAGTCTAAAAATCAATGTCATCTGTATGTAGTAGTTAAAGGCATTTCTTCATTCAAATCGCTCCTTCAGTCTATCTCTAACTACAACTCTCTACCCATGTAGAATCTATCTATCTATCTAGCTATCTATCCAAAACAAAACACCCTCTCTCTCCTTCTCTATATCTATAAATCTATCTATCATCTAAGTAGGAAACACTTTGACTTACTCTAGGGTTTAAGTCTAGCCAATGATTGGTACAAGTTCAAATTGAATTGTTATTAACTATTGTAGGCAAGTGCAATATTTATGTTGAGATAATTCTAAAATATACCCTACCGTATTTTTATATCGTAGTAGGCGTTTATTCTGCTCGACTCGACTGTAGGTGTAACTCTATAACTTTAAAACACACACACAAAAAAAGAACTATGGCTAAAGCTAAAGCTCAATCCAAATCTATGATAAAAACTAGCGCATAATTACTGTTAACTACAAGTTTTTTCTACTCCAAATACTCGTACATAGTTGCAAAACACTACACTGATACTTTACTAGAGCGATAAAAGTGTAGACCCTAAGAGAATCTCTATATATATATATATATATATATATATATATATATATATGTATGTATAATATATATGCCCTAGACTTACGATATATGCGATATATGATTGTTGTTCTAGTTTTAACGACGCAAGTCAGCAACTCCAAGTAGTTGAAATTTTACTTAGATCGTACTTACCATACATACAATACATACTACCTACAAAAACTAAACGAAAAACCCAGAACTATTGTACTTAAACTATGGCTTAAAAACCGACAAAAAAAAACCAAAAAATCCATAAGAAAATCTAGTGAAATCAAGTGATATTGAGTGAGATCAAAAACGATTTTAGCTAAAAACGAAAATGAAAAAAGATTAACAAAATTTAACACTTACACTTACACATACACAATCACACACACACATACACACAGATACAAGACACACAAATCTAATGCAATGAAATCGAAATTATGGAAAATTTTAAATTTAATTTTAATGCAAAGTTTTAGGCTGTAAGGCAATGTACATAAGATACCCGTAAGGATACCCCTTAAGGAAAGATAACTTTCAAATTTCTCCAAAACGCATAAAAGACATTAAACTAATTGATATTTCTAGATTTATACCCCACCCCCTCTCCCCCATACCCTACCCTAAACATCACCTTCCCCCCTCCCACACAGACACACACACTCTGATCTGTGTACTAAGAGGCAATGAATCCTCATCCAAAATGCTCAGCACCCAGGAAGCACACACAGAGAGACAGTACAGTACAGTTTTATATAGACATAGGTTATACATACATAGTAATTATATACATACATATAATTATATTCAATTAAATGGTACAACAGTAAATCTGCCAGTAATTTGAAGCAACAACAACAAGAATCACACGTTTTCCATTTGGACAGTGAGCTAATGTACTACAACAAATTGATCAATTGATTCAAACGTTTTTGAGGCCAGTGCCGTGCCGGGTGGTATATTATTGACGATGGCGTATATTAATCTAGTTTAATGTAAACCAATGCATGCAAAGCTAAAAACCAAAAACCAAAAACCAAATTAAATATTCGTATTTAGTCTAATATCTTCTGACCCGACCCTATACCCGTACACCTACACTACACCTACACCGATTCCGACAGAGACAGAAATGAGAATGAGGAAAATGAATGAAAAACTATTAGCAATTTTTATGGTTGTACTTTGCCAGTTGTGTGCGTAAGATCTACTTATCGCACTGTATACAAAACCACTATATATATGATGTTGTAAATATCACAGACAGAAATCAGACCTGACACCAAATTACTCAATCTATGGCCATCCATCGCGCTGGTTGTCTTTGCCATGTGTTCGCTTCCCCTCCCCCTCTGACTTAGCATACTTAGTAACCATAACCATAGATTTAGTTAACTGATGACATAGTTCTTGGATATTTTTCGGTGTTATATACAATAAGTGTAAGCGGATATACATAGATACGAGTACAGCTACAGCAACCCACCATAAAGCACCTTCAAGAACTGTTTGTTGTGGGCTCTTCGAAGCCGTTCAAAGACTTTCTCACGTACAATAATCTGTTTATCTGTATGGCATCAACCATAATGTACATCCTTTGTTCTATGCATTATCTCTGATATTTTCCGTTTCCATTTCCATTTCCGTTTCGGTTTCAACTCTTCTGTTCTATTCTATTCTATTCTGTTTCGTTCAGTTCTGTTCTATGCTAAAATGCCTTCAAGCGTAAGTCTTAAGTATTATAAAAAAAGTATGTATCCACAAAATGAATGTTTATCCTTAAGCAAGTGTTAAAATATAGGCGTATATACATAATTAGCTTAAGTTTGGATGTGTGTGTGCACTTTGTTGCTTTTCAAAAAAGTTTCCTAAAGACAAACAGACGATAAACGTGAATATATTTGTATATTTGTTCTAGCGTCTAGATCTAGTCAAATGCAGTAGGTTATTCGCCAAAATGTTTTTCTAATTTATTTTTTAAGCCTTGTTTACTGTGCAAAAATGTTTATAGTTTACCAATTAAATGATTTCAACTGTTTCATTTTTCATACGATCGTTTTGCATTTTTATTTTATTTTTCTTATACGAGTAACATAAAACGAGAAAGACAATCTGTGACAAGTATCTTGTGCAATTTTTTTTTTTTCACTTGTTCTCTGAAGCTTATTTCAATAAATAGCTCAGCTACAGCGACGCACTCTGCTCACTCACTTTATTCGAATACTCTGCGTTGTGATTGTTCATTAAGCGAATGTAAATGTAAACCGTATTTACGCAATACTTATACGTACGATTATACGATATGATACGATTAATCTGTATAATCTGTACATAGATAAACCTAATCACTGATTCCACATACCAATCAAAGGCCATGCCCATGACCAGAGATGCCACGCGCATCTATCTGGATGGGTAACCGACTTCTTTTTAGCTCAAAACTCAAGTTCAAGTGATCAATAATACGAAATTTGATTCTAACTCAAAGCCATTAAATAGTTCAATGTGCAGCTCATCAATAATTTTGCCATTCAAGATAAGTACTGCATGTATGTATATGTAAATTTGTATTTTGTACAACTTACAGATACCATATACCATATAACTACCATATATGTATGTCATACCTGAAAAGACAGGTGGAAAAACAAAAAATATAAATCGTCAAATGAAACTGAATTACTTCGAATACAATACAAAAACCTTTTGAAATTGAAAACGATTGATAATAGCTATTAGACATATCAATTTTATTTAAAACGAATCGAGAAAATTCATTCTATATAATTAATATATATATATATATATACACACTCGTGCGTATACATAGTGGGTACACGACTATGTATGTGTGCACATCTGTGCAAGTTTGCATTCCTGTTTAGTCAGTAAGTGGAGACATTTTAAGCAACATCGGAAAGTGCAAGTGCATAATGATGTGATCTACGAGTATATGTATGCATAGTAATATAGTAATTAGGGGATCTTCTGTTAGGCACAACTTTCACTACATCTACGCTTCACAAGCGACATCTCAGAGTATTTAGACTGACGAGTAATAAAAGAATACGAAATTGTGAGATCTCAGCTTTGGATGAATTCTTCAGCCTATTCATTCTTGTGCCAAACAAAGTATCGATCATGATCTATACCTACTATATGTATATTGTATGTATATGTAACGCATTGCGAGACAAACTTTACCGCTCAGTATTATCGAGAGGCTCGACAGGACTGGAACTGACCCCTTATCCTCGATTTGGGCGGCTCTCGGTCTGGGTCGGGCCGATCGGCCCTGCTATGATTAAGTACCATATATACAAGAACTACACAAATCTACGATGTAAGTTTTAACTGTAATAAGTATGCAATGATACACTTTTATAAAGAAACACAAACTGTTACTTAATGGCATTTAGCTGAGATGCTGTAACCTCTTGTTGAACGTAATTTGTACAATACGTACTACGTAGCATGTAAATCTATTTAGCTCGCAACATGCCGACACAGACACAGATACACCCACACATAACGGATATATGTATGTATTTATACAGTGCTAATATTAATGTGTATCTGACAAACATGCATACATATGTACATACATAAGAGTAAATGTAAACTTAAATGTTTTCGTGGTTGTAAACTGATGATCAAAATAGATATAAACGATTTTACATGCTTTTATTTGAACGCGGCAATACTTTAACTTTGCTTTAACACTTTTTGGTAACGTACCTTAACAACATTGTACTTAATAACAACCGGCACATATAATGCATTTCTTTCAACGAAATACGCGTAACGTTTTTTTTTAATTTCGACTCAATCATTGTTTCTACCAGTCTTACAATCTCGTAGCAAAGCCTATGGAGACAAAATGTAAATGGGAAAAACGTACTGTTTTCCTGAAGCTCAAAACACTTTGATAAGGCATGATCAACAATGTAAACGATATTTGAAAAAATCATGAATATTCCCTCCAAATAATTTTTAAAAAATTATGTATTTGCTATAGAAGTCAAATCTCTGATAATTGTAATGGAATGCATATAAGGCGGCAAGGTGGCAGGATGGCCAGAGGGGTTCGAAAGGATTTTAGCCTGTTGAGATGGGGAAATGGAAATGAATCTGTCTATAATGGAGGTATATTGTATTTAGCATGATGTTACCAGTTACATTTAACATAATTACGATTAAAATGATTATTGTGTATTGCATGTGTATGTGTAATGTATGTAATTACATGGAAACTCTAAAAAACAAAACAAAAGAAATGAAATCTAAAGAAGATATAAGAAAACCAGAAACTATGGCACACTTTGCCATTTAATTGTAGTCAATTCTTCAAATGCATTAGATGATAAGTGTGAAGACGATGGATGGTGATTAGGACGATGATATATGGACACTATTTTCTAAACATATTACAACAATAATTTATGAATTTGTTGGTAATTTTATACATATATATACACAGTTATTGTACTTTTGTTAGCTAGCAAAACGACAACGACAACTTAGGTAGCGCTGAGGTAGATAAACTTTATGAATGTTGTACCCAAAGCCCACGCCCCGGACACCAGCGAGAGCACTCTGTACAGGCACCGAGCTAGAGCCCAGCCTCACGGCACGACGACAGCGGGAGGAAGGAGAAGGAGAAGAACCTGTGTCGTGTCCCCTACCAAGTTAGTTAGGTCCGCGTCCCTCACATTATCTCCTTAAAAAAAAAAAAAAAACCTCTTACACACTTACATAATTACACACTCACCTACTCTCACTAATTATAATTATAATCTATTGTATCTGTTGGATTTGTTGTACTCTGCCATTTTTGGTGTGATATTCTATTGGTTGTGGCGGCTCTTTTTGGGCCGTTTTACACGTTGTTGCATTTCTACTAATCGCATTGAGCCACACTCTCGGCGGCCAACGCATGATCGAATAAGAAAACCAAAAACAAATTAAACATACATACATACTACATGCATATATT